TGCGGCCGTCGCTTCGGGCAGAGCGCGGCGCTGACGCGGCACCAGTGGGCACACGCCGAGGAGAAGCCGCACCGCTGCCCCGACTGCGGCAAAGGCTTCGGCCACAGCTCGGACTTCAAGCGGCACCGGCGCACGCACACGGGCGAGAAGCCCTTCCGCTGCACCGACTGCGGGCGCGGCTTCGCGCAGCGCTCCAACCTGGCCAAACACCGGCGCGGCCACACGGGCGAGCGGCCTTTCCCCTGTCCCGAATGCGGGAAGCGCTTCTCGCAGCGCTCAGTGCTCGTCACACACCAGCGCACGCACACGGGCGAGCGGCCCTACGCCTGCGCCAACTGCGGCCGCCGCTTCTCGCAGAGCTCACACCTGCTCACGCACATGAAGACGCACAGGGGCGCGGTGGGTGCGGCCGGCCCCACGGCCGCCCCGGCGCCCAAGCCCGAGACGCCAGCCAAACTGCCGGCGGGCGCAGCGAGCGGCGCGGGGGAGCGCGGCAGCACCCTGCTGGAGTTTGCGGGCGGAACGAGCTTCGGCTCAGAGCCCGCGACCGCGTTCGCAGGCCCCTCAGGCGCCTTCCCCGAGAGCGTCCTGTGAGGGCCGGAGGCCGAAGAAGGCGCAGCCCTAAGGGCCACCGACTCCTCCCTGGGGCGCCGGTGGCAGCGCACCGGCCCCTTGCTCCTCTAGCCTGGGGGACCGAGGGTTCCAGTCCTGGGCGTGGTGCCTACCCCTCAGTCCTGGCACTCTGCCTTTCGCTCCCCCAATCGCGGGCTTCCCTCCTGCCTGACTCCATAACACCGGGCCCTGAGCTCGTAGACAGTGGCGGGGGGAAGGGGTGCGCTTGGGGAGAGGAGAACATCGCGGGGAAGGGGAGGGGCAGCCACCCTGACAACTGCGACATCCCTGGGCCTGTGCTATGCACCCAGAGGTCAGGGTGCAGGCACGTTATTTATTTCACTGGGATTCCGAGTCGGGTGGCCCGGGGCCAGGTGGCTGAGTTTTAACGGCGTTTTAGAGCGTCGGAGGGAAGGTGAGGGCGGGGCGCCCGGCTGCCGAGGTGGGTCCGCGCCCCATCCCGGCGGGGCTGACTCCTCTTCCGGGCCCTCGGCATCACTGGTCGTCGAAGTTAGTCTGTGACGGCCTGCGCGCTGGCTCCGCGCCTCACGGGTTCAAGGGCTGCCGGGCGAGCCCCGGCGACATGGCTTGGGAAGCTTTCATTCTGATTGTCCAACTGTGGGAGTTTATCGCCGCCTCCTGCGTGGTTTGAAGAATCTGGATGGTGGGAAAGCCAGAAACCAAATTTGTGGCCTGGGCAGATGATATCGCGGGGTCCCGAGGGAATTTGAAGCCTTATTCTCCTAAGCCGCCCTCTCCTTACCCGCTTTAGCTCCGAGGTCTCCCAGTTAACGCCTGCTGGGTTTTATTCAGCCATTTTGGTACTCACCTTGGGCGCTGGAGGTGTCATACTCAGATCCTTAGGAACCCTGGCGCCCCAGTAGACCTGGGCCCCACCTTCCACTGCCTGAGCTGCCACCTCTCGTGGGGCCCCGGGGCCCCACCTTGTGAGCCTGTCGCCCAGTTAGAATAAACCCAGTGTAAAGTGACAGGTTGGTAGCAGGATTCTGTCTCACATCCCATAATTAGGGTTCTGGGAGTTCCACAGGTCTCTTTAATTGTTTCTATGGTTATTCGTGTTTCTGTTTCGATTCTCAACTCCCAAAAGGCCCTGCAGGCTGGGCTGTCTGCACAGGCACATCCACTTTGCGATGCGGCCCCGTGTGGGGGCTCAGTGACTAGTAAACTGAGTACCCGACTATGCAAGACCTTAGCCTGGTGGGCACTCTGCCCTCTCAGCTGGGCTGTTGGGAGCCACCCAGCAGGCAGGTGAGGCACAGCTCTCTGAGACACCCCCACCCCTTAATGCCTTTTGGACCAGTGAGTGGGGCCAGAAAACAGATTTTGAAGCAACCGCATTCCCTTTTAGACCTAGTACCTTCGGTGTTAGTGTAGATGTGGTCTTGGGGCCTGGGAGCCAACGGCCAGGCCACGGGGCCCGGGGGTGGGATAGGAGGCCAGTAGTCCGTGGGGGGAGGAGACGGTGTGGGGGAGAGTTAGCCTGGCTGGGTGAGAAGGCGGGGTGGGGTCCCAGGGTGGCATGAGGATGCTGGGTGGTGCCCTCTCTGTTCCTAATTGGTCTCCTCTCCCTGTGAGACTGGAGAACCAGAGCGGAGGGCGAGGTGGCTGGGGAGGCTCAGCATCTGAGGCCTCGCTCTCCCAACACTGGGGTCTGGCGTCATGCCTGCCCCTCCTGAGGCAGGTCTGCCCGAGGTGTTGAGTGTTTTTGGCGGTGCTCCTGGGCCCGATTGCTCCTGCCCAGCCCTGAGCTGTCAGAGGAGGACCCAGCTTTAATAAAGAGTGGAGAAATGAAGCTTTCTGACTGGATTCCGTGTTGTTGCTCTCCTCAGTACCCATCAGGGAGCTATGCAAGGCCTCAGGTCTGTCTTGTTCCTGCAGATGCTTTTTAGTGGTTTCTCTTTGAGGAGACTAACATTAGTCTGTGGAGGGTCTGCCCAAGAGCTTTAGCCCTGCCTGCTACCTGTGTTCACATCTTAGGGGAGTTCCCAGCGGCTCCCCCAACACTGCCACGTACTCTTTGTAACACACTCTTATCTCAGGACAGCCTCACCGTGGTCAGCGGAGTGGACCAGCTCCCCTCCCTGGTCCAGACCAGTGCCACAGGCCTTGCCTCAGACCCCCACCACGCGGGTCACCCAGGGCTCACCTACTCCAGCCACTCCTCAGCGCACCTCCCTGGGGCCTCACCTTCTCCTTCAGCCTGACTTACTGAGTTCTCACCACTTGGTGTCCCCAGACCAGATAAGGCTCTCCCAACCTTTCCTTGTGGATTTGAAAGAAATGAACTACTTTCAAGTGTGATTTGGAGGCATCAGAACAGAACCTATATTTCAGTTAAAAAAAAAAAAACAGGCTTTGAGTGGCAGATGAATGTTAAGACCTAGTTAAAAATGAATGACCTTGAGGGTCTTCAGGTCTGTTCAGAAAAATTAAAAATATTCCCTGAGCTTACAATGATCCATTTAATTAAAAATTTCAATAGTTTTTTTATATGGGGGGAGGGGAGGGAGATACCCAATCCTAATGGTCATAGAAAAAAAAAAAAAAGTAGAGAGCTTTTCTAATTTTGAAAGGATTTCTGAATTTCTGGAGTCCTGATTCATTCCATAGATATCAATTTAGCATCTTCCATCATTACCAAGGAGGAATGGAGGTCCCCAGCGACCCATGAGTTTTGACCCACAAAAGGTGGTACTTTGAGAGTCGCAAGGCCCCAAACACCCTCATTTCCACATTCTTTGTTTTCCTCATTCTCTGTTGCTTGAATCCCCCCAACTTGCTTCCTTTCTCCTGACACTTTCTCTTCAAACATTTCCTTCTAACTCTTAATTGGCAAAAAAGTATTTTGAATTTTTGGGTTATATTTATTAAATAAAGCTTTATGATCCTTGTTCACTTTTTTTCTGATTATAAAATACATGTCAGTTGTAAAATGTACAACAGTGCACAAGCATGTTGCAGTACACACTTCACCTAAACTCACATCACACACAGCCATCGGGCTCCACAGTCGATGCAGGAGATGTGTGTGAGAGCATCTTAGAATGTAAGTGTTCATAAGAGATCACTTTACAAATACCAGCAGTGTTTCTTCAACTATCAAACCTAATTAATATGTTCCTGTAGGGGATGATGTACTAATACAAAGATGTCAAATCTCCAAATTAATCCATAAAATCAATGTAATTTCAACCAAAAAGTTCAGTTGCATTTGAGGGCCTTGCTAGATTTCTGTAGAATAAGGGCATTTTAAAAAGAGGTTACACCCTATCAATGAGAGGAAAACACAAACTGTGCAGCAGAAGATATTAGAGGAATGGGGTAACTATACTGGGTTCCCAATAATAAAGTGGGTGCCACATACATTAAAGAACTAAATATAAAACCATAACATTAGCCAAAGAAAACAGGTGATAAGTTTGTGACCTCAGGGTAGGAAAAGACTAAAAGCTTCAATAACCTACCCACAAGGCAAGGGATAGGTGAACTTGATTATTTCAAAATTGATGACTTATGTACAAAAACTTATGTAGGGATGTCAGGAGAAAATATTTTCAATATCTAAAATTGATAGATTAAAATACTCAACTACAAAAAATGATACCAATTTAATGGGAAAATGGAGACTTTGATAATTGCTGCTCAGACCTATTTTATTTTCTAAATTGGTATATACACATATTTCATAAATCTGGAAAATTCTTAGACTGGACTTCATAAATAATGTTTCTCCATTTTCTGTTTCTTCTTCAGAGCTCCTATTTGAATATTGACCTAAAACTGTATTTTGATCCACACCTCCCTCAAGGTAACAGAATTTGTTGAATACAGAATGTTGATCCAAAGTAAAACCTCAAATGATAAAAGCTTGTGAGAAAATGAACTTTTCTGAATGTTAGGATAGTTAAAAAAAAAAAATCCACCCCCCCCAAAAAAAATAAGTTGAACTTCATTATTGGACTTACCTAAAATCAAGAATTTAGACAATGTTAACAGAATGAAAAAAAGTGAATAAAATATTTTAAAATCCGTATCTGGTACTTGTGTTAGTGATATCAAACTTGCTTTATATTTAAGAACTGATTTTGAAGAAAATAGCCCTGCCGTTTTTGGTTTTAAGGCCATTGTAGATGACAACATGAGGTCTTTAAAATCCTCAGTTCCCTCACATATGTAGGTTACATATATCTACATGAAAGGAAAGTGCCTAATTACACCTGGGAAGAGTTCAATACAATGGTTACAATGACCATTCTCAGATTCTGAGTGGTTCAGCAAGACAAGCCTTAATTTTTGTTGTTGATAACAGGTTAGTGTGTGTAGCTTATGCACCCTAGCTCACTAGGCAGACTGGTCTGGTCAAGAGGCCCTACTTTCTTGAAACTGTACCACCTGGAACACAGGGCCTTATAAATTGCTGCAGGAAGGATCATGAATTCCATCAAATAATAATCTAGAAGTCCATTCAATAATAATATACATTTAAAACATGTATATATATGTTTTGTACATATATGTTACATAAACGTGTGTGTATACATCCCACACACATCCCAAAATCATATGTTGAAACCCTAATCCCAATGTGATGGTTTTGGAGGAACTTTGGGACACATCATGAGTATGGAGCATCATGAATGGGATCAGTGCCCTTATAAGATGTCAGAGAGCTGTGAGGACCCAATGAGAAGTCACCTATCAGCAGTCCAGAAGAGGGCTCTCAACATCCAGGCTGACACCATTGATATACTACATAGTTTATAATAAAGCTGGTATTTTCTTACTCACTGATTTATTTGCAACCTTCTTTATTTCAAAGAAATGATTAGGTATCCTTCCCTCAACTCCCTACAGTGCACATAAGTTCACTCACACAAGATACAACGTACATTGAGATGAATCCCTTAAAAACAACTAAAAATCACTGGTTTACAGGGAGAGTGCTCTGTGCCAGGTCCTCTGCAATGCTTCACTACACTAACTCCTCACAAATCTGCAGAAAATTTGTTCCTAGCCATTTTACAGGTGGCGATACTGGGGTACTGTGCCACATCTCCGGTCCTGTATACTGGAGAGCTGGGCTTAGCTCATGCCCAGATCTGAGCCACATCTCCAACCCCTCTACATAATCGCCTCTTACACACTCTTGTCTCTAAGAACATACTTGTGCAAATACACAGAGAAGATTTCATCTGGTCATATTTCCACCAACATCATGTCACAGAGCAGTCTACACCTGGAGTCTGCAGATCCCAGGTTTCACAAGTTTGGAGATTTAATAGTGTGTTCCACCATGCAACACTGGCATTGGCAAGTCGTAGACTTAGGAAGTCTTGCAGCTGGTTACTCTTCACAGTTATCTCATTGCCCTTCATGACTGGAAGCACCGAGGTTGGGTTAGACAATTCCCTGCTTGGAATTGTCTTTGCAAATATGACCTGACCCTCTCTGGGAGCCCGACTGCTAGATGGCGCTGCCTTGAGTCTTCAGATTCCACCAACAGGAATGAGAACGCTGTGAAGGGAAAAATGGTGCAAATAGAGTCTTATTTCCTCCAAGGAAATAATTTATCAATTGTGTAAATTTCTTGATCTTTCCTACAAATTCATATCCAAACATAGTAGCTCTAAAGAAAGCTTCCCTATGGGTCTTTCAATCTAGTAGGTTTGACAAATATGAATAATCTCATGGTAAGCCCAATATTTGAAATAAAACAACATTTAAAAATTGTCAGGAATCATAAACTATTTGCCATCGCTGCACACTCAAGTTAGTGTTCAGATGTTAATTCCTTTGTCTTTAGAGTTCTGTGAATTGTCATACTTGTGGGTTTTTTTTTCTTTAAAAATGTATTTTATAATTTTTAGAGTAAATCAGCAATTTAAAAAGGTACCCAGGGCCCTCCCTGGTGTGATGCAAAGGGTTAGGATGCAGCACTGCAAGTTGGCCGCAGTTTCCATCTCTGGCCCTGAGGTGATCCACATGGTGTGGCAGACCTCTCCTGACCCGCCGGCTGCTCCCCTCAGCAGTGTACTTTGTCAGTCTGCCTGTTCTGCTCCCCACTCTGTCTCTGGTGAATCCTCTCACTGCCTCTGCACCTCTGGCCTGTACTCCAGTTCTGTATGCATAAATAAAAAAATAAATCTTAAAAAAAAAGTACCCGGTCTTATACAGTATAAACTGTAATTTTGATTTCAAAATAAATCACAGACATTCTTATAGAGGAGTTAGTCTGTCTGACTCGATCATTTCAGATGACTACCATCTTCCACAATTTATGTTACATGTTCACTCGGTTACATTTAAATTGGTTAAATTTACATTGCTTACAATCATCCTGATATAACTAAACTGTGAACAAGATTACTGTAAATACATCATTTCATTAATATCCACCTTCAAGTGGAATTAATAAGCTAAAGGATATTTATTTTCAGTGTAGGATTGCTTTCGGAAAGTTTACATAAATTACCTTTAGATTATATATGAGGGAGATGAATATTTTTCTAAATCTGTACTATCATTATGTTTTTCTTTTCAAATTTTATTTTCCACAAATATTTTAAATATTGCTAGCTCTTATTTGTCATGAGGGACTTCTCACAGATTATCGTTCATTTACAACTTAACATTTATGAATTCCCTTATACCTTAAAGGGTGACCATAGTAATAATGATCTTTTGAATAATTTATAAAAGTCATTAATAAATTAAGGTTACAATCTTCATTTCTCATGTATATTATAAAGTTTCTAATTGATTTGACCGTAAATTCTGCTCCAATTTTTTTAAAAGATTTATTTATTTATTTATTTATTTATACAGAGCTGGGGTACAGGCCAGAGATGCGGAAGGTGAGAGGGTTCACCAGAGACAGAGTGGGGAACAGAACAGGCAGATTGACGAAGCACACCGCTGAGGGGAGCAGCGGGCGTCCAGGAGAGGTCTGCCACGCCATGTGGTCACTTCCGGGGCAGGCGGGGATCGAACTCATGCGGAAGAGGCTTTAGCTTCTTAGTGCAGTGCTTTAACCCGCTGCGCCACCAAGGAGGGCCCTCTGCTCCAATTTTTAATCTGAAACTGAAGTGTGCAACTTCCTAAAATAAATCAGTTTTTAGCTTCATTTATTGTCATGTTTTCTAATCAATGAACTTTTACATTCTAAAATTCACTTATGCTTTAAGACTTTACTTTTGAATTTGAAAATATTGAATACAGGTAAAATTACTTATTCTTAATGTGTGAGTGAGGGGTTTAACCTTAATTGTATTTGAGAAAGGTCAGTGACTGAGCTAACATAATACATGGAATACTTTATTCTCCCATCAATCCCAAAGCTTCTTGATCCTTGGGCCAAGCGTTAAATACCCTTTGTTCTTGGCCTGTTCTCTAGTTTCTCACTATCTGTCTTTTTTCTTTATGGTAAAAATGTCACCAAAGACATGCTTAAAGCCTTCGCCCATTCATCTCCTGGAGCGTGAGCTCTCC